ATATAAAGAGAGAGAGAGAGAGAGAGAGAGACCGCTATTTTTTCATAAAAATGCACCGATTATCTTGCATATTTAAATTTACATTATAACTGCTTGTGTTGGACACAAAAATTCACACCTCACATTTCTATACAAAGTGATCAGTAATGACGGCTGTTTAAAAATATTTTTTGGAATAATTATAAATTGTAAAATCTAAAAAACTGCACTGTAAAAAAAGGTTTCTCAAAATTGAGGAAAAAATGCATCAAAATAACAACGAAAGAATTAATATTCGTATTTGAAAACACCTCGTAAGCAAAATTAAAACAGGATTTTGGGTTCGTAGTAAGATTCTATAACCATCATAGTGATACAATCCAACTCAGGAAGAGTTAAGAATCTTTATATATTCCTTTCGCTTAAAATATTTCAAGAAATAGCTAAGTAAGCAAAAAGTAAAATGAAAATCACTGATCTTCTGACTAAGCGATTGGGACTATATTTTCCAAATCCAACCGTTTGAGTTATTGAAATGGTAAAATTAGTATATCATGATGTATGACTTTTTGTGACTCAACATCACGTCGTGATATATTAATTCCCATTACATTTTTCTTATTTTAAGTGTGTTTTTTCTCATTTTATATAAAACTTCCAAGACCTAACTGGTTTGGACTGTACAACTATGGTGGTTAGAGCATGCTACTAAAAATCCGGAAATCCATGGTCTGAATCTATACGGTAGCCAACGAAAGCATCACTCATACGTTTTTCTCTTCATATCACTTCTGAGACTATGCATTTTGTGCAAAAATAAGTATATGCTGTTTCAACTTTGAACATATGGTGTTTTCAAATTCGACTATTATTTGTTTTGGAGCTATTTTCATATACTTCTACTAAATTTTGAGAAATCTTTTTTAACAGTATATACGATTACGGAAAGTGCAGACAAAAACTTTTTCAGACTCACAAATTTATTTCATACATCATTTACTTAAGGAAAAAAAAGTATTCTTCAAATTAACTTCTCCTTTTTCATACTCTCTTGCAATACAATTGCTTAACTGTACAAAATAATAGCATTAAATAATTAAAATTCAAAAAATGCAATAATATGTAAATAACTACCATCGTACTTACTAAATATAAGCATAAGTACTTCATCCTCCATGTTTTGGGTGACTGACAACACATTTACGTTTTCTGGCAAAACTGTCTTTAAATAATTACCGCAAGCAAACTGATAGAAATCTTTACAAGGATGCACTGTCTGATCCAATTTATCCAAAATAGCTCCGGCTTATAATAAATTTTGAAAATAAAAGATCCATTAGTAACAATAAAGTTTTCAAATCTAAACATCTTGGTTAAACAAAAAAAATTATTTGCAAATATAATACGCACAGTAGTTATTGGTAATAACAATATGAAAGAAGCGATAAAGTATTCAACAACAAAAAAATTTCTTGCTTTAATTAATATTTATAAAGTTGAAGTAATATTGTATTTGCTACAATCAGTTAAAAATTCTGATAAGAAAATACCTCACCTAAAAAACAATCATTTTCTGAATTAAAAAGGGGAATATATAAGTATTATTAGAAGTAAGAGAAGCAATATTTATGAAATATTTACATGCCTTGAACTGGGGCTTTTATGTTTTAGATGATTTTCTTTTTAAATTTCAACCTAAATTTCTAATATTTCATGTTTAAAAATCTCATACTTATTATTAATTTCAAATGTTTAAAAAATAAATTTCTGCTCATATTTTCTTAAAAATTTTGAGAAAAAAACTATCTAATTCTTATAACTAATAAAATATTAGGATTTTTTTAAAGGAAATAATCGATTATATATTATTCTTTTTTAGTTTTCGTAAATTATAACTACCCAATTTAAAATAATTTTTTGTAAAATTTATTTTTTATGAATTTATTTTTATTTGTATTGCATTATACCGACAAAAAACCATCTGTCTCAAATGTAATGGTGAGGTGTCCTCTTATTAAATATATTTTTCGCTCTAAAACTATAAATTAAAAGAAATAAATTTCGATACGCGAAAAATTGAAAAACTAAGCAGTGCATTCAAATTAAAGTTAGTGTTGTTATTTTCCCACGCTTTTGTTGCTGTCTCAAGTTAATTATTTTGTACATTAACCTTAACCTTATTTTGTAATAACAAAAAATAAAGGCCGTGGTTGACCCTAGTTTTACTGATAAAATAATATTCTGGAGCGAAAATAATTGCCAAATAAATTGCGTTAATTAAGAATTTTTTTTTCTGGTTAGAGAAATACAGCTGTTTTTTACAATCATTGTGTGCAGTTATTTAGACTTTTATACTATCATCTATGCTCAGCATTTATTGCTAATTTGGCATCCATATTTTAAAGATATAAAACTTCTACAAGGGTTGGACAAAATAATAGAAACACTTCTGTACTTATGCATTTCGTTATATTTCTCAAGAAGTAATTAGAAAATCATTTATAACTGCAGAAGTGATTATATCATGCGATTTCTCATACTTCTCAATGAAATTTAATGCTTTCAGAGGTTGGAGGGAGCGTTTGTAGTTAAGAATTATAATTTAGTATTTAATAATTAGTTAATTTTAAATTGCTACCGAACATTTTGTTTTATTTTATTTTATAATTTTAAAGTTACACCAAAAAAGCGTAAGACAAAACAAAAACTTTATTTTTATAAAAATGTCCGTATCTCCATAAATATCTAAGCTAGGCTTACAAACTTTTGCACCATAATCGCAAATAATAGCCAAAATAATTGCTATAAGTTACAAATTTATTCCTACATTTTTTGTCATAAGGTGTTCAAAAACACTATTTTCTGTTTGTAATTTATTGCTAGTCCCTCAAACCTCTAAAAGCTTTAAACTTTATTCAGAAGTATGCGAAATCACATCTAAACACTTCTGAAGTTATAAAGTAGTTCGCTAAGTATTTTCTTGAAAAATGTAATAAATATATTAGTATAGAAGTTTTTTCCTTATTTTATCCAGTCCTGTGTGTCTGAAAGTAATGAAAATTTATATTCCTTGTGGATCTTTATTCTTAAATGAAACTTATTTTCACACAAATCAAATGAATAAATTTTAAATATTTTTCTATACTTACCTGATTTCAGACAAGATTCTTTTGTACAAACGGCAGGTTCAACTGGCTTTAATTTTTCTCCCTCTTTATCTTTTTCTGAAACATTACATGAATCAATTCACGGGCATAATACTGAATAACACAGTACTCTAAATAACGCATTATTTTCCGTTTTCGAGTTATGAGAACATTCTTTTATGATTAAGTTATTTAATCATAGCTTGCCACCGTAATAAAAAAAATAATTCTATATCGAATCAAGAGTGGAATCTAGCCGTTCTTGCTATAAATACTGGGAGGAAATTCTAGTGAAATTACCGTACTATATGGTAATGACATTTCTTTTTCGAAAAAAATCGTAATTTTGATTAATAAACCCAAATATACACTAGTTAAACCACTAATTTAGAAGTTTTTCCATTCATATGGTAACGGTTTACCGGAATTTCTGGTTTTCAAAGTTACTTATTACTTGACATAGTACTTATTACCTGACATTTATATTGAAAAAAATACTAATTTGAAAAGTAAATTTACCGAATACACTGTTTTTAAGCCATGGCTTAAGGTACCATAATAAAAGTACCAAGTTACATCACATATTATAAAGCTATATTTTATCATTAATTTTACCAAAATCAATGTCGAAGCGAATTGGTAAAAATTAACGAGTTTTTTGGTGTTACCAAACAACCAGAAACTAGGTCATTTGTACGATATTCTGGTAATTTTGATACCTTTTCATGCCTTTGATTTAATCATACTTTTTCTCTCAGTGTAGAAAACTTTTAAAATATAAAAAAAAGTTTTTAATAAAAAATATTAAAATATTGTAGTATTACCTAATTTTCGTACTATAGCAATGAATTACAATTAATGACTGAGATTTTATGGAAGTTTGTTGAAGCCTCTGTTGAATTACAAGTGTCAAATTGTTTTTCTTAATTAATTGAAAGATCAAATCACTAAATAATAATACAATATTTGCTTTCTTTCTTTAAAAAAATTTTTGAATTACAAGTTAATTTGATCTTTCAATTAATTTCTTAATTAATTGAAAGATCAAATCACTAAATAATAATACAGCATTTGCTTTCCTTTGAATATATAATAATAATTGAAAGATCAAATCACTAAATAATAATACAACATTTGCTTTCCCTTCTTAAAAAACTTTTTCGAATTACAAGTTATTTTTTCTTTCAATTAATTTCTTAATTAATTAAAAGATCAAATTACTAAATAATAATACAATATATGCTTTCTTTCTTTAAAAAAAATTAATTGTCTTTAAAACAATTAATTGAAAAATCAAATCACTAAATGATAATACAATATTTGCTTTCTTTCTTTAAAAAAAATTGTATTGTAATTGAATCCGAAAATACCTGTTACTTACCTTTTACGTGAAAAGTGCCGAAGAAGAAAAGAGCTGTCGTCGCTGCAAGAAGCAAAGGTGAAGTTGACATCCTGCTATAAAATAAATTTGAACACGCCAAAATAAAATATAATTGCATACCTTCCCCTAAATATGTCATAGAAAATAATTTAAATCTATGAATCCATAAATTCTGATTTCTGAGCGAAAGGCAAAACTAAAATATATTTTAATGCATGAAGCAATTAAATTCTAGTAACCTTCCCTTTTTGTTTTAATAGTACTACTTAAATTTAGAAATCTAAAACGTAAAGCTCAAATCTTCAGCAAACACATTAAAAGACAAAAATGGTTCAAGTATGAAAATTTTGAAACTATGAATGCTGTCTTCCAGAGTTACAGTATAAAATATTTCTGCATTCATACATTTTATAACTTATGTATTCATAATATTCTATGTTAATATGCATATTTTGAACACGTTGCAATCTACGGCTATAAAATGTCTTAGTCAAAAGATGTTCTTATTTATCTGATAAATGATTCCAAAAGCCGCCATTCATAGTTTTGTGACCATTTTATTTATATATTTACGGCATATTATTTGTTCATACTTTGAAATGAAATAAATATTTTAATGTAATCATACTTTGAAGTGTAAAGTTTAAAGTGACGACGAAATAGTTTGCATTTTGGGCTAAATTAGAAACAAATTTAAGATATTTCAGATGAAAAATCTGAATTGTAAAAACTGTGGTTTAATACCTATCCACATTTGGTGTTGAAAAACACTAAAAACTGCGTGCTATTTTAAGTTAAAACCGAATCGAGCGGGCACACAATTTTAAAGAATGTAGCTAAATCTAAACTCAAACAATTGATAAAACTTACACGAAGCACAGATGCATTTACTCCATTCGTGAATTATTTTCGCCAATTTTGGCGTCGTTTGGGAACCATCAGATAATCAAAATTATTTTTTTACAATCAAGCAGAGAAAATGAAGGTTTGATTTCGCTTCGCACGATGCTGAACATTCCATAGGAAAAGAGAAGCAAAATTTTGTAGAAGCAAAATTTGGTTTGTAGTTGCATAATAAAGATAATTATAATCTCATAGGAATATTTACATTATTAAATATATCTCAATTATATTTAATAACTTTATAATTTTTAATTTCTATTCGCTTCGGTTTCGTTAAGCCTAGCTCGAATTCTTGTTAAAAAAATTTCTGTTGTTTGATTGATTAGCAAGCAGCAGTGAGTATGTTTGATAAGCAAACTAATTTTATTTCAAGCAATATTGTATACATACATTTAAGATCAATGGTTCTTGATTTATATTGTATCGTAAAAGTTACTTTACTGACTATTATGTGTATCATATCTCATTGTAATTATTAATTTTAGGGATACTGAACCCAGAAGACAAGGGAGCTCTTGGATCATGAATTGGGACGGAGTTGTCTTCGTAGAGGACTTTTTTGATGGAATTAACCCGCATTTACGTTACATGGGGAGAAAAATCACGAAAGCATCGGCAAATCTCACGACGGCAAGGGAATTCTATCCCATGATCAGTCTACCACTGTGGAAATTTTTGCATCAGCATTGTGATCAGTGCGAGCCGGAAGCAGAGTTTGTATCAATCAGTCATCGTTGAGAATCGAACATAGGTAACTTCATTGGAAAGCGAAAACTTTATCTCCTGAGCCAGACTCAAAATAAAACGTTTGAAATATATACAGTTTTCTGCGATCTGCTGTGACCATTGGTACGAGTTCAGAAATTAGTTGCCATGCTAATCAAAAGATGGCGCTGTTTACTAGGAAAACTATTAAAGAAAGATCTTCAAACAAGCCATGATTTGCAGCAACAGCATGACAGAGTCTGAGGATAAAACTAATTATCTCCAGTACAGCTTTTTTCTTTTGGAATGAATAAAACAGAAAACAATGTTTTATAGCATCTAGCTACAAACTTTGGTACTAATTTTAAAATCTTGGAAGAATTGGTGGTTTGTTAACTTATCTAAACGCATCAAACAATCCAGCTCTATTTCGATTTTATTTTCTTTAAATTTGAAACATGGTACAAATTGCATTCTATAACAAGTTAGTAATTTTTGAACAGAAAAATATATTCATTATGTATTTAATTGAAATATTCATTCGAAATATTTCAAGAAAGTAATTGAAATTTGTTCTTTTATCGTATATTTAAAAGCACATCTTAAGATATCTCGGAAATGTTAAACTTTCATGACAAAATTTCAATTCATAGACAAAAAGAAAAATTCTTATTATCTATATAATATTAATATTCCATTGAAGCAAATAAACGAAAAACTTTTCAAACATTTAATGAAGAAACTTACCTTGAAATCGCCAAAAACAAAGTTTAATGTAATATGAACGTACACAAAAACATCGCCTTTTAACTTTCGAATGTAAGCCGCTAAGGAAAACGGGAAGCATCTGGACTCGCACAGGATGTTTCGATTCATAAGTGTGTAGGTTCTAATTGATCGTTCCCATTCATTAGTATCACAGTAAGATGACGTGCAAAGTTTTATACGTAACTCGATTATGATCCCCAAACAGTAGGTTTATTCGCTTTATTAATTTCTAATGTTAAAGAAAGCAGTAGCAGAAGTAAATTTAGAATAATTTTTACAGTTTTAGCCATAAAATGAGATAAATTCATTTCCTGTTATGCATTATTCTGCACTGAGAAAAAAGTATTATGAAAGCTAACAGAATTTGGTGAAGTTAAGTTTACCATGTTTTTTGGCTCTATTGGAACACCGAAAAACCAAAAAGTTCGGTAATTTTTACCCAAATACTTTGGTAATGACTTCGATAAAATTAACAATAAAAGATGGTTTTATAGTACGTGTTAAAATTTGAAAATTTTGTCGTGATCCATTAAAACATGGCATAAAAACAATTTATTCGGTTAAATTTACTTTTGAGTTTCATACTTTTTTTGTAAATGTGTGCTTAAGATCTACAATTTAGAAAACTAGAATTTTAAGTTAACCGTTGCGATATAAACCAAAAAATAACCAAAGGAATAGTTTAAGCGCCGTATATTTTGGTGTTATTAACCAGAAATATGGTTGCTTTTTTTTTACTAAAATGTTATTTACCATATTGTACGGTAAGTTTACCAGAATTTTTTTCTCTGTGCACCCAAACGTTGCATTAATAAATCTATAATTTTATTGCTTTAGAAACAATAAATAGTTGTTAATTTAAAGCATTAACGGGTATATTCGACTAAACAAGAAAAATATTTTCTTCTTATTAAAAAATTTAAAAACTATAAAAAACTAGACACTTTTTTTTGTCCCTTTTAGTTTAATTCTCAAACGCAAATTTAAAAATAGGCTCAAAAAAAGTATCTTATTTCTAAAACGTACCTTCTACAATGTTAAAAATATTTTTGTTGTTTAATTTTGCATAGAAAATATTAGTTTCTTGCTTTTTTTTCGCTTTTTACCGAAAAATAATATGATTATGGAATCAAAATACCAAACAAATTTCAGAACAATTAAAAAAAATTGTGAAGAACAGAAAGTACTGTAACACTTTTTACTAAGGCATTGAAGCGTGTCTGTTTAATTATCTGCGATTTTGGGGTAATCATTAGTAAAAAGAATTTATAAAATTTTACGTTTTTTTTAAGCAATGTTACTGATTAAATACTTATATTTCAAATAACAATTAGTTTTTAGTTTTAGAACTTATCTCATTACGTAGGCTCTTAATTTTTGTCCTAAAAAGTGTTTATAATTAGTCCTTCTTTCATCCAAGAAATCAATTCAGTTATTGTAATGCAATTCATCAATTTAGTCGTTTTGTGAAATTTATCAGTAGCAAAACTAGGAGCAATATTGTGATTAAGTTGCAGTTTTTCAGAGCTATTTTTTACATCAATTTATTCCTTTGAATTATTTCCAGATAAATACAGCAAGCTTCCAAAATTTCCAAACGATAACTGTACATACAATACTCAGAAACATGCTATTTGCCAAATAAAAGTTGTAATTTTCACTAAAACTGCTCTTGCAAAATATTGCCCGGAGCCATTTAAAAATGTGGCCCATAATATTGCCCGAAGTCCTGCAATTGTTATTTAACCAATAACATTTGTTTTTAGGAAACCAGATATCATGGGATAGGTTGTCAGATGTATAACAATATGACAGAGTAATTAATAGCCAATGAATGATATCCTTTAAGAGGAAATAATAGAAAATAATACAATTTAATATGATAAAAGGAGTCCTTAATTACTATTCAGTTTATTTTATATTTACTGCGAGTGTTATTCTTGTAATATACTATTAGTTATTTATGTTTTAAGTTTAAAAACATCTTGGAATAATTTAACGTATTATTTTCCAAAATTATTTAACATAGTATGATTAATTAGGGCAAATAAATGTTCGTGAACATTTTACTGTAAAAAGAACTGTAATTTTCAAATCGCAATGTGCAAGCTTTTTGGACTTCAAGTTTGACAAGGATTCTTATAGATATATTTTGATAAGAATTCTATGAAAAACTGAAATCCAAAAAGTTTGCATATTAAGAGTTTCAAATTAATATTTATGAGAGGAAAAAGTAAAAAAGCTAGCAAAATCAAATCTAAATCCTCATTTAGGTATATAGGACAAAAACACCATGTGATATTGAAGCATCACATTTGCGTTAAACTTTCCACAGCTTTATCAACTTAGTTTCATAGTTTTTTGATCCAAATGCAAACTTTCTCGATCAGGTGTACTTAGTTTCTTCAGCATTACTTATTTTAACCACGCTGGCCATTTTAACTCTTGAGTTGATTATTTGATTATTGTAACAGAGAGAAGATTATCCAAATCCAGCATGCTTTCTTGGCGTCCCTTGATGAATATTTTTATGTAAAAAAATCAGAGGACATCGCTTAAAAAAAAAAAAAATTCTAACTTTCTTAACACTAACTTTCTTAATAATATTACATATCACAACCTGTTTTATTGCCAGAGAAAACTAAGAAGAATTTAAAAGTGATTATTTGAAGCTTCATCACGCTATCAAAGGTCATAAAAATTTTTCTATAATGAAATAACAGATTTTGATTATGAAAGTGCTTTCTCTAAGCTTAAATATTAATCTGTGAAGCTTAATGTTAAGCTTAAATATTAATCTAATACACGTACTATTTTATCTTTATTTTTGATAAAGATTATATAAATATAAACTTAGGGTGGTCATTATAGGACACCTTGTAATTTAATGGTAAAGCAAACACAATTATATCAATCAAAAGAGCTTTATAGAAAAGTTCAAAAATTTTATTGGTAAACAACATTATTCATTTACATTGATTGAAAGACATATCCGTACAAAACAGTGATACTTAAATATTTCTTTTGTGTGAATATTTCAAAAAAGATAATCATTTGATAAAAGCTATGGCAGCAGGCACTAAAAAATTAATTAAAAAATATCAAGAAAGAAATAATAAAATAAATAAAGAACTTCATTAATCCTAATTAAATAAAATTATTTCCCCAAATATATTTCTTTAATTAACAAATTTTGCACATACAAAAATCTTACTAAACATCACTTTTGAATTGAATTGTGTTTCGATAAGAAATAAATGTCTAAAATTCTTATTAAGTTTTATTAAACAAACTTATATCACATAAGTACTCAACCACACAAAAAATTAACAAATAAATAAACTATAAGCAGTAAAAGGTGTCAAGTAAAGTAAGATTTTATAATTAAAATGATATTGATAATATGCATGAAATGTTAATAATAAAGGAGTTATCTATTTTTTTACTTAACTAAGGAAAGTAAAATGATAATTTAAAAAAATTATAAAACAAACCTTTATAATCATAAGCTATGTAAAAGGAGTGATTTTCTATTAATATCCAAAATCTGTGTAACAAATACCAGCTCTAGATTTAAAATACAAGCAATTTTAAATTATTTTAATTGTACACTTTTCAGTTTCATATGAGATAACAAATTAAATACTTACTTATAATTATTAAAATATATTTTTAGATTACTCTTATAAAAAATTTTATAAGTAAAGCTAAATCCAAAAATTTCAAATCTAAAAACCGGTAGAAGATTCAAGTCTAAATATTCTTTTTTAAAAGTTTCCATAGATTCAAGCCAATTTTTATAAATGTATCTTAAAAATGTCATGGACGGCAGTGTAGGAGTTGCAACAACTTATGTCAAAAGTCGGTATGATTTCTTTATATAAAGTGTCACAGAACATTTTCGCTTAATGATGCAAAATCTTCGCACAGATTTTTCTTTCTTAATAAACACGTGAGTATGACTAGAATATCGTGAGGAAAGTTCAATGCTAGTTTTAACTGTATATTGAAAGGTAATGTTGCTTTATAGTTCAATTCAAATCTATACTTTTAATTAATAATGTAGTTTTCCTTACTGGAAGCTTGATAATTTTGTTCTCGAATGCTCCTTAATATGGCAATGTAATCAGAACTTAAAAAGAAAGATTTGATGTTTACAAACGAAAACCAAAACAGTTTCAAACTCAATTGGTTGTTAACGAAGATACTTTGAAAGTGCGGCATCAAGACGAAAGTAAAAATAAAATTATTTTTCAAGTATTTATAAATTTAAGTCATCGCAAAAAGTAGAAGTTTATGTTTTACGGTGAATCATCTCTTTCCCCTGCTGATTTAAGGCCTCTAGTTTGCATTCCATCATATGCTATAGTAAAGAGCGATTTTTTCTCCATTAAGTTGGACTTTTTCAGTCGCAGAGCAGTGCCATCTTTTCCGATACCAGAATCAGAATCTTCATCCTCTCCATCTGTGTGGAGGTTATTGTCTCCGATTCTTGATACATCGTCTTCTGTCGTCCTTGCACCAAGTCTGTCTGACTCAGGTTGAGTTTCTCTGCTTTCCATTATGTCTGTGTCTTCTAACTCTAGTTTATCTCTGCTACTTGGAGCCCCAGAGTCATCAGTAGATAGTCGATGCGTAGAAGGTTGCAAAGATTGTCTCCTCTGATAATGATCTTCAGATTGTTGGGTTGAAGGATGAAGGGATTGCCTCCTCTGATAATGATCATCAGATTGCTCGGTTGAAGGATGTAAAGATTGCCTTCTCTGATATTGATCTTCAGACTGCTGCGGATCTTCTCTGTGCTCTGCAGCATCTTGTTCTTCTTCTCTGTGATCTTCGGGAGCAGGTGGACTTTCATGATAATTATCTTCGTGAGAAACGTGTTCTTGATCATTTTGAAAAGTTACAGTATGTTGCTCATGGGTATCTTGCTGATGATCGTAAGAATCAACAAATTGTTCACTTTGCTGCTGATACTGTTCTTGTGCTTCACTTTGAGTATGCAACGGTTGGTTCATTGTCGAGTTTGCCATTATGACAGTTCTCGAATCGTCCTCGATATCATCTTGTGAGTCCACGCTCTGTTGATGAGTCAATTGTTCCTTGGGCCATTCCGTTTGCTGAGACACATATTCTGTGGTTCTACTATGTTCCATGTGGGGTGGAGATGGGGGATGATGTGGTCTCGAAACAGATTGATCATGTTGTTGATGGAAATGGGGATGAGGAGGGGCAAATCTTCTATTAGAAGGATCATGTTCAGGATATTGATCTCTATACACCGGTTGGTGTTGAGTTTCTCGAATGTGACCTTGTGGGTAACGTTGATTAGTATCGTATGTTTGTGGTGGCTGAAATGTCTGAGAGGCATCTGGATGTTGAAAGTTTCTGTAATCATCAGGTGGCATCCTCTGAGTTCTATACTCTGGACCTTCCCACCGAGCTGGATGCTGACGAAGTGGACGACCGTAATTATCAAGTTGAGGTTGATTAAAAGGAACCCATGAAGATTCTGGTCCTACATAAGGACGATCAAGATCAGCTGGATCATCGGTTGATATTATTACGTCTCCCTCCGTTCGATGATATCTGAAATTAAAATAGTAATATTTCTTTTAATATTAGAAAACTGATCAAGAAATTATATTTAATCCTTTTTAGAAGGATCCAGCTAGATTTGTTATGAATTTAGAAGCTTTAGAGTGATTCAGATTCAACCCGTTTTATCTGCTAAAGATGGGTGAATATATTCATCAAAATAAGCATTTCGTAAAGATGTATCTGTGCTAGAAAAATTGCAGCAGCAAATGTATATTTTATTTTATTCATATTCACAAAAATAAACCTGCGTTAAATTACAATTTTTAATTTTGCCACCACAGTGGTATCGCCCTTCTTTCTGTTGGAAACATAAAACAATGTTTATTATCCTAATCGATCATGTATTGCCGAATTTAGTACCCTGAATACCATATAATTCGTTAAATTGATAAAAAAATAATAATAATAAATAAATAAAATAAATAAATAAATAAATAAAAATTTTACATTATGAATAGTATTTGGAATAATGGAATTGAAATTAGATAAAACAATTGAAAATTTCCTTAATATACTCCATTTTTCGTAATATGAAAGATTACAGTAAAACGATTACAAAATTATACATGCATTTTTGTATTTTTATTTGCACCCCGCCAGCTGCTGATGTGCATCATGCGATGTTTTATTGGTTATTCTGTTGCACAAGTGGTCTTAGAATCAAATAAGTTGTGAGCCCAATTAAAAAAATAACTTTATTTTATTTTAAATATTAAAGGTTTGTCTTTAATGAATGAAATCAATCACCAGATGCCTGGAGCTGTTAGAATTTGTTAAATTAAACCAAACTATTAAAATAGAACTACCAGCAATCGTTACATGAGAGAAATGTATTTTGAATCTCAAATTTTGTTCTTATTTTCAATGTTGTTTTACATGATTCAAATATTTAGAAATGTAAACAAACCTTGAAAATTTCAATTGCTCTCTAGATGCCGGTTCAGGATGTGCCTGCATCCTTTGCATGGGTACAGCTACATTTCTTGTCCTATATGACCTTGGTACCCTCAGGTGGGGGTCATCTGTATTCAGAGCTGTCTCACTCACACTCCTTAATAGTTCTCCTTCTCGAATGTAATGTCTTTCATCTTCCTCATCTCGCATGGGACTTCGAATGTATAATATTTCTGTTCTTCTAGGCCCTAAAAGTATTGAATATTTTCTAACTAATTTTTAAATTATGCTACTGAAATTTGGTTTGTAATTACAGTGTCATTAAGCAATAATGCTTTTTATTACGTGGGTTTTGGTTAATAAAAACAATTTTTAGCAATAAATTTATAAGAGAGTACTAATAATTCTTTTTTTAAAGATCGCTTTAAATGCATTTGTTACCTTAACTTTGAAAAGTAAAAAGATGAAATAATTAATTCCGTTCTATAATTTGTAAGCGTTGTTTCTCAAATCATTTATGATAGTTTAGCAAATTCAATAAGTATCTATCATGATCTTTTCAAATAGTTCATTTCTGAAACTCAAACGCTTGAAATTCACTGTAGAATCTACTTTTTTCCAAATGATAGTAAATTTCTTACATCTTTCTGAAGATAGCACTTCATCCTTCTGAAGATAGTAAATGTACTTATGTATTTTCTCGATTACTTGTTTCCAAAACACTTAAAGTGCTTCTTAAGCTTATTTGACTTTTCAAAAACTTGTTCTCACTGTGTTTTATCATTTGATTGTGTAAATAAAAGCAAAATGTAGATAATAAACAGATTAATTTCAAACATAGAAGGAATATTTTAAGAAAATATTGTTTCAACATTGTACCTTCTAATCACAGCCATAATTTTTTTCTTTCAATTTGAGAAAGTTCTCATATTAATGCAGTTACTATACATAATTTAGCGTTAACTTAAGAACTTATGATAGAAAAAAAAATAGCACAAATGTTAAAAATTCAGCTTACCTGGTGATACATTAAAACTTTGTATATTAATTTTATGAAACGTGTTAAACTATTAATAGTATGATTTAAAAACGTAAGTGACCTATTCATGCAGGGATTTTGAGTGACGTATTCAGCTTAGTTTGTTCAGCACTTGGCTAGCTGGCACAGAGTGAGGGACAATACTAGTACGAACATCCTTTATAAACTTTTACACCTCTCCAAATATTGTCGAATTCACGTACAATGGATACCCTCACTCGTAGATATATCAGACAATGAAATGGCAGATAGTCTTGCCAAGGCAGGTGCAGCTGAGGTCAATGCGCCCTCAGTGTCTCTTACCTCCTCAGAGCCTTTCTCCATTGCTAAAGGGAAAAATAAATCAGCATGGCTCACTCCACCCAGTCACAATTGGTACCAGGGTACCAGACCGGGTAGCTGTTTGACTGCTGATAAAGACAGTCAGTCTCAAACCGCCATCACACGTCTCCGCTGTGGACACCTGAAATCACTGAGATACTCAGGAGGAGAAAAGTGTTTTGCCCTCTGTACCAAGTGCTCTTCGGCCCAGGCATCCCCTGAACATCTACTGGACTGCCTCGGTCTTTAAAACAAGACCTTATAGGAAGACCCTTACTTGTTTTATACTTTTTGGAGGTGAACAAACTCATGGACCTTGTCTAGCTAGGCTAGAAATGGGGATTTGAAAGAAGAAGAAGAAAAACGTAAGTCGACATTGGAACTTGAAAAGTTATTGCTAAAAGAACTATTTATCAAACATTTTATCAATAATTACTAAATTGAAATATTTTTAGGACAGAAGAGTCGATGAACTCTATTTTAAAATCTCGCTTTCCTGCACTTAATCCAAATACAGTCTGATCTCTAATTTCAAAAATATTGCATGGAGCTGACGAGTCACAGTTGTCTGACTACTTTTCTAAGCCTTTAAATCTATTTTGTTTGTTTATTCTTTTATTCTTCAAAAAAAATTTAGAATATTCGATTAAAAAAATTTACCATTTTCACCATCATCTCCTGCAGTTCCATCATCAGCTGCATCTACTCGAACTCTTGGCCTAACTACTTTTCTTACAACAACATAATTCCCCAGCCTTCTTGCATCGGAGTCTCCTGACATGTCTTGTACTAACATTTCAGTACTCGGGCTCAAGGGTCTGCCACGACGATAAGCTCGCTCCATTCGACCTCCAGCTACGACTGGAATCCCGCCATCAGGATAATATGCACCTCGAATCGGTAATTCTTCTAAATTAAAATTGAAAAATTATCTGTCACAGAAGAATTTACACATGAAGTAAATAATTTAAATCAAAATATCATCATTCTGCAACATTCGAATGCTTGAAATGAGTTTCACAAAATAAAAACAATTGCGTGAAATGATAATGCAGGGAACCATACAGTGAAAATTCCAAACTATTTAATAAACTGAAATTTTCGGAAAAGAATTTTGAACAAAGAAAACAATTGTATATAAAAGTATTACCAGAACGTTTGCACTTTTTATAAAATAAGAATAAAATTACATGAAAGCGATTAATATCCGAGCTTATTAATATAACAATTCGAAAACTTTATAAAATTTTCATGTCTAGAATCCCTCAAAGTGAAAATATTATTTCTCTGAAATATTCGAATACATCAAAAAAGTTTCAAGATGAAAAAAATCTTACGTTATAAATGCAATACAGAGAACCGTATTGAGGACATTTTAGGTGATTCTAAAAATCGAAATTTGTAAATATTTTTTGAACAAAGCAAACGATTTTATGTTTAATGGGAAAAGAACGTTTGCACTCTGAAAGGACAATAAAATAATATTAATGTGAGTAATATTTCACCTAGTTAGAAAAAAAATGGAATCTATCAATATAATAAGGAATTTGTCATGAACAAACGTATCGAAGATTAACATTTTATAGGAAGTATGCTTTTAAAAAACATTACAATAGCACTCTAATTTCAAATGAGAAGAATTTTGATCGAAGTTCTTAAGTTTGTTTGATAAGGATCACTGATAAGGATCTTATGCAAATATTTTTTTAAAGAATAAGGTATGTTTATTTATCAATGTCTTATTTTTTCCTATTTTTAATGAAAAGGTTAGTAGAACTAAACTGACTTGCAGTCAACTTTACCAATATTTGATGCATATAATTACACTTTTCAAAATGAAAAATAGTTAAAATTACGCTTGTTTAGCAATATGAATTATTTTTACAGTTATTATTTTATTGATAGATATAATGATTTTATTTGCTATGTTAATCTAGTGTTATTTTAAAAAAAAGTCAATTCAAGGGAACTAAGTTACATAAAATCGTTCATGTAACTGTTATTTAATATATTAGACAAATCTCTGTTTAATCATAGATGTAAATATTATGCACTATGTGCTATCAAGAATCACATTATAGTTTTCTTCGTATCGTGTTACAATTTTGTAAAGATAAAATCTATAAAAGAAACATGTATTTTGAACTATTTATTTTTTAATTACGGGTGAATCAACTGCAATAAATATCAAACATAATGCGTGTACGAAATACACTGGAGTTCAAAATTAAGAGGATCTCTATATTTCGGTGATAACTTTAGAACTAGACGATCAGTTTAAATTAAACTTAGTATTAAGATAGGTTAGTACGATAGGTACGATAGGCTAATCAATACTTACAATTTGTAAACACTAACTTCTGGTTGAATTATTCAAATATCCTTTTTACGTTTTATCGCAAAAAATTTTTAATGATACAAAATGAAATTTAGGGAATAGTAAACACATTACCTATCAAATTAATATTTTACAGTGAAATAAGACTTAAAGAAAGTTTTAAAAAAATACCTGGATTTTGTGCGTATGTTGTGGTCACAGGATCATTGAGATGGACTGTTGCTTGTTGAACTCTATGATTTGGCGATACTCTCTCCTCATTAGTTTTCAGATGCTCTTTTGTCACAGTTACCACTTGATTCGATTGATTTTCTACCCAAGATGATCTTGTTCTACTTTCTGGTCTGAAATAGTTAGTTCAAACAGTTAGAAATTTATGCTGACAAAATTATTATTTTACAAAAACAAACCAGCAGCGATACCCATGGTTTCTAACTTGCATTAGTAAACTCCATACATTATTATTAAACTAAAATATGATAAGAAAAAAACTCTGGTAAATTTCAATAATGTAGGTAGTGGATTTGAAATGTAATAAAATAATGCATAGATCCATTTCTAAACTTGCTTAGTTTGCTTATAAACAAGCCAGCGCTTTTAAAGTCACTTTAAAGCAAACACAATTTTCATATCAGTTTTAGTTAAAATAAAATTTTAACTAATAAGTATAGGTTTTGCATTTTTAATTGCTGAATTTTAATCGCAATTTTATATGCATGCAGTTAATTTAACACTGCAATTTGTTTTTGTAGAATTTATTCCAACATTGCTCGAAATATGAAAAAAAGAAAAGAACATTCTACTGAACTGTGTGCAAAGATTCGTATTTTATTGGAAAAAAGTTACATTTATGATTGAAAAGCAAGATAAATATTTTGAAATCAAATATAACATGTATGTGCTGGCTCGATTAAGAATAAAAGGAACAAACTCTACAGAAAATGCACAGGGAAACTAAATGTTTTCCTCGGGTTTACCAAAAGATTCCGAACGCTAGTTAATATTATTAATATTAGCTAGCGTTTTTTATTTAATATTATAAATATTAAATAAAAAAATATTTCCCTGATCTTTTTGCAGTTTTGCTGCATGAAAAAAAACATCTTGCATTAAGTTATTAATTTATCTTTAACATAATGAGATTATTATAATCAACATTTTTAAAACATTAGTTAAGCCATAAAATGTATACATATAGTGCTTACATGCGAAAAAGTAGACATTTTACTACTCTTTTTCTATCTTCCTAGCATCAAGGAAATTAAAGACGAAGATAATTTAGGTAATTAACAGTGACTGCAAAATATTAAACAACAAAAGTTTCGCACAAGGTAAAGATTTTAATTAAATTATTCTCGTCTAAAAATACACGGTAGAAACTTTTATAATTATATACATCATTACACCATTTTATTCAAAAATGTTATGATTAAAAAATGTGTTAGAAAAATGACCAAATAGATACATTGAGATGAACTCTAAGTAGCCTTCTACGAAATTTTTTACTAGATAACTCAGAATATGGGAATGACTATAACATGTAAACTTACTTTTAATTGCAGAACATTAAACAGTGTTAGATTCCATAAAGACATTTTTATGATACACCATCAAGTTAATACAAAAGAATGCAATTACTAATAATAAAATTGTAAAATATCACAGAGTTGCAACGTACCTTCGCCTGGAGTCATTGTTTATAAGAACAGTTCCATCTTCTTTATAGTGAATTAAGTTTTCTTCGGGAGAAACTTTATTCTTCATTTCTATGATATCTCGCCTAAAAGTTAAAGTTTACTTATTTTAATACGCAAAACTTATAAATTTATGGTTAAATAAATAAATTGAAATAATAAAAAATTACTAAAAGTAATAAAGTAAAAAATACTAAATATGATAAAATTAATTAAAGAAAGCAATAAAATTATAAGTTAATATATACGTGGAAATAAAATTATGCAAAGTAATATTTCATAAAATAGCTCACACTTGTGTATTTTTATATTTTCTGAAAAATTTACTTTATACAAATGCAATTTTGATCTGAAAATGAAGGTCGTTAAGTTATCAAGCTTATCAATTATTATATTTAAAAATTATCTACACAAAATATAAAATGTGAAAGGTTTCCTTCATACTACTTATTTTAAAACTTTTACACATTACATTTTTAAAACTATTAAATGCTTTTGTAAATTAAAAAGTCAATTTTCATAAATGTATACATATATAGCTAATCTATCAACTTGAGCTCATGCATTCTTAAATGCATGCATGCGCTAATATTCTCATCATGCATGCGTCAATATTCTCAACTGGAAGAATTATCCAGCCAAATGTATTTAGCCACTTTATACCATCTAAGAAAATGTGTTTAAGCTTTGATACCGATTGTTCCTTTTCTATTGCAAATTCTGAAAATCTCTTTTTTTATTATAAAAATTCCACTAATGTCCCTTATATGTGATTAAAATAACTAAAATAATCAAAATTATAACAATTAGAGAAATAAATTCTAATGGAATGACAAAAAAAAATAATGGAAAAAGGGATTTAAATATGTGTTTAACTGATATAAATCTCTTCAACAATAAACACAGCCTAATATCAAGTTTAGCTTCAGTTTTTAGTTCCAATTTGCGTTGCAGTTTTAAAGTTATATATGCGTCCAACAATAGATTATTTCATTGAAGATATTGTTTTTCATAAGAATACTTATTAATTACTTACACATCTGTTGATCGGACGCAGCAACAATATAAGCATAGAGCTAAGATGGCTAAAATCATGAGAATAACCAAAGCGATGAGTAGCCAAAACACTACATCAAAGCTACTGCGATTAATTGCTTCCACCTGCAAAAAGAAAAATTAAAGTTAGTTTTAAAAGTAAGCAATTAATCTATAAGACAACAAATATTTAATCACAAAAATTCAAGCAAACTCAAGTTTTCTAGTCCAATAATTCAGTATTCTAGTCCACTGTAAATAATTCCGGATCAAATTATAGTAAAATGTATTACCACCCTGAGTGCAGCATCCGTGAACTCCTTTTTTGTCGAAAACTTTTCAACTGTAATTTTTACATTAATATTTATTTAATTATAGTAATTTTACTGTAACTATTACTGTAAAAGTTAAGGGTATACCAATTTTTTACGAAATATTTTACTGTAACAAATGGACTTTACAGTAAAAATTACCAACACCGACACTCAGGGTGCCAGCACTTTTTATTGCAATTTATCAGGAATTTTTTGCAGTGTTATAAAACAAACAACGAGTATATGAGTCCAATATATGGGTTTGTAAACTTATGTCTGAACATTCTCTGAAGAATGTTATTATTTATAAATAAATTTATTCTGTAAGAACAAGAAGAAAATCTTTCAATTATATTTTATTAATCATTAATATTAATATATAACTAATTCATTAATTTATATTATGATGAATAAAAATTAAAGAAAGCTTGAGAAACAGGGCGTGTAAAGTTGTAGCTGTTGTTGTTGTTTCTAAAGCGACTTGCCTATACCAACAAGCCTGATAGGTGAAACCAAGCGAATTTAAAGCTGAAGGTGCGTTTCGTGTTTCTCGGTGGCGCCATCTATGACCAGGAATATGAATTCAGTTACGCACACGTCACTGCCCGTTTATAGGGCAAACCCATTCATTCAACCACAGTTCATATTTTGACCTGAAGAGAAAGATCAATCTCTAATTCAGTAACCCCAGAATAATGATTTCTCATGGGAGCATGGAGGACTTTGTAACCAGACGGATTTAATATGCACCAGTCACCATTTACTACACTGGAAGTCATCGGCCGATGGGGATTGAATTCATGACCTCTTGGACATGGGTCCAATACCTGGCTATCCTGGCCAAAAGGGTTTTTTTTAACAGAGATAGTTTTCAATATCGGTAATTTTTACAAACTTTTTTATTTTTGCAATTATATATGAGACCTCAACAAGAATATTTCATTTTTTAAGTAGTTATCGGACAGAAATATTAAGAATCATGGTTTTAGTCAAATTTTAAAAAATGCATTTAAAAGTGAAAATTTTTCAATTGTTAAACTATTATCGTTAAAATGAATTTCTCCACTTTCTAAACATCTTTTTAAATCCTGCCATATAATAAAATATTTTAGGCAAAACAAAAATTACGGCACTTGTAGCTGACAAATTAGACAGTCAAAGTTTAATTTAGGAAACAATATAACTATTTCATTAATTTTATTAAATTTTACAGTAACTTTTAATGACTTTTTGGTAAAGTACTCTTAAATACAAGTGAAATCAATATAAATATGCATAAATTCTGTCTCCATATGTTTAAATATTTCGTATTGTAAAAAAGTACCTTTTGATTGGTCACATAATAATCTCGTCCAAAAAGATTTCTGTAAAAAAAAATTTGATTTTCAGTTAATTAAATTGTTCTAAATTCTTCTTCATTTACATGCATTAAAATTTGCTTTAAAATGTCAAATTAATTACCCAATTATAACATCCATGTTGCTCAAATCTACGGTCGAAGATAATGGATAGGAAACCCAACATCTGACAACGGATCTAATGAGGAAAAAAAAAGACACGTAAAACACCTTAAACGACACAAACACATAAGACTAAACATATATATTTTCTAAATTTATGTATTAACATATTTTATATAAATTTCTATACATAGTTGTAAGTCTTCATAAACGCTCTTGTGTATAGATGTTATGTATATTGTAGATTTTAATTTTATTCTATTTGAAGAAAAATATAATTTTTTGATCTATAAAAAAATAAGAAATTATTCTATTGCATTTGATATTAACACATTAATTAATAAAACAATTTTTTAAAAAAAAACATGTTAACTTGTTTCATCAGTCTTAAGAATAAGTTTATTTAATTTTTTATATGTTATCGAAAATACAATATATACCGTTTGATAAATGTTTGGGGAAAAAACGTATCAGTGTTTCACTACTTACTTGTAAATACATGTATACATTGCAAAAACAATTAATCGACGTAAACTACGCATTATCAATGAAAATACATAAAATAAAGTAGCTAAGCATGTTTCTTGTTCATAAAAAAAGAATTTATTGTTTTGTCTATTTAACTCCTTCCGATGCAGTGTAGCTACTCTGCAGAGACTAATTCAAAAAGTGTTACAAAGCCCTAAAAATGTAGGGAGGAAAAATTTTAAAAAAAGGAGAAAAAATTTGGAGATTAAAATAACTTAATACTTAAGTAAAACTACTGAAAAATTGGGGAAAATACCTTTTTCTAAGTAATGGTTAACATTTCTCTAAGTTTTCAATGCGTTTGTTATCATTGTAAAGTATTTAAGCCATATTCAAAACATTTCAAAATTCTACAACTAATTACTTACATCATTTAGCTCATTAATTCCATTTCAATAATGTTGGTGTACTTTACGTTTCTTAATTTAATCACCTCGTTTTATTATTGATGATACTTTTATTCTATAATTTGTTAATAGTTTGATTATGCAAAAATATTCAAATTTTTAAATACGTTTTAAACATATTTTTTATAATTTTAGTTCAAAATAATCTGATTTAAAACTAGTTAACTTACTTTTCAGTACTGGAGTTATGGAAACCAAAGGAATGAACATTTACATGAGCTCCAGTTAAAGCTGAAAACCCTCTGAAATATAAAATGTAACATTTTAAAATCAAGCCATTATTTTTTCTTAAATTAGTGTTCAAAATAATCTAATTATTCCGATATTGATGGATATTAAAATGGAGTTCAGTGAAAAAATTAATTAATACATACAGTGCGTAGAGTGAAATATTTATAAATAAATTAATTTATTATAAAATATTGAAATGAAAGCTGCCAATTAATGACTTTTAATCTTGTGTTAACGCATTTGATTGGTGTTTAATTATTAAGCAACAACCTAATTTAGTTTTAACAAATGATTATGTGTTTTTTTATACCTATTATATATAACTTTCCAACTTTTTTATAGCATTTTCCCAACACTTAGACATAATATTACCTTTAATTTTTAATCACATTTGCTTAAAAATTTCACAGAATGTATTTAATTAATGTGGTTGAATAATTAAATATTAAACCACAACATGTAAGGAATTATTTGTCCACCTACGTTGCATCAAATTGCGTAACTGATATATAGGCAGTTCAATTTAGATACAAATTTGATACAAGTTGAAGGGATGGAGCTATTATGCCACTTAAATAAGTTATTTTCAATTATTTTCGAAACTGAAGGCGATTTTGGGTGGGCATCAGTTCGCAAACGCTTCTACCAGTTTGGATCATATCTTCGGCAATAGAATATAGCATGGGAACTGAAAAAGTGATCTCATATTACAATAATTGACTTTATAACTGAGGCGACTTCATTAAAAATATAGTAAGGCACTGCGACATTATAAATAAAGTTCATTGTAGACTTTATAAATAAAATATCTTTCAATTTTATTTAGTCATGGAGAAAAAAAATTCAACTTTCTATAATTATTAGTTGTAAAAATGATAGAACTTTCACGCTTATAAGATTTAGGCTAATAAGATGTGACCTTTTGTTAAAGAACAGTATACAATATTTTTATGTGTACAATATTATTATATATAATGCAATATTTTTAATATTATAATACTACTAAAAAAAACACGCACGGATTTAATTAGTAAATTTTTCTTTTTGAGCTCCTACTTTTAACGGAATTAAAAGATCGGGGATCAATCTAAGAAAAAATTTCATGTTTAAAAATGCATCCGGACTCATTGAGTAGTAACTTTTTGATTAATTTAAAGCCATTTTCAATAGTTTTACCTTTCAAGTTCCTGTTTTCTATCTGATGCTTTTTTCGGCGAAATAGGTATTATGAAAGATATAGAGCGATTCAAATATTCCTGAAAAGATATTTAAAAAAACATTATTTCATTGAAAAAGCAATAACGCTTTTAAATATTCAATAAATGAAATTTGTAACATTGACCAAACTCTTACTTGATTGTGAACTTGAACTTGGACAGTAGCAAACCGAACAGGCACTCCCTGATCGTGAGCTCTCACTGTCAATGTGATGACAGGCAGTCCATGATCTTGTGCTTCCGGATTCGGTACAAGTGGGGCTTTCAGGCTCAATTCTCCAGTATTAGGGTCCACCAAAAACTTTTCCTGATAGTTACCATTCACAATTTCATACGTGATCTCACTGTTTGGACCTGGACCATCAGCATCATAGGCCTATGGAGTATAAACTTAATTGTTATGTACTTGCTTACAATCTGATTAAAATAAAAAGAGTCTATTAATCTGGATTGTTACAAAAATTGTACGCAAACGTCCTTGCTAAGAAAGCCCCTGACTTGGATCAATCCCCCATCTTCACCTCTGCAAACGCAAATGTGGTTACCTAGCGCAAACGTTTCAAGGATTCTTTTAAAAAATCCATCCATTTCTGGCCCTAACTGTGTTAAAAACATCTCATCTATAATAGCTAAACTCTGAACACAACACCTCAAAGGCATGAAGATATCTCTAGACATGACCACTGGATATACACCGTATGAAGACATTGCTCCCAAATCATATTAAAGCCAGAACACTTTTTCAACTACCAGGCCATTCTAGCAGCACTGTTTAAACTCGGCTCACCCCCAGAGGACTTTATATCGCTCTTGGTCTGCAATAGCGGCACAACTAAAAAAAAATCAAGTTTTGAAATAAGTGGGTTTAAAGTTTTCATTGCTAAGCAAAATGCATAAGAAATGCTTTAGTTCGCTAAAACAAAGATTACCTTCAAGTTGAATTATGAGTTGTGCTAGTATTGCTGCTGAAAGAATGTGTATTTTCATATTTACACCTGTTCTTTGTCCAAAACGCGTGTGTTTTGAGTTGTGCCACTAATGCAGTCCATGAGCGATATATAGTCCTCAAGCACCAGAATTCGCAAAACTCATCCTTCAAACTTTTTTTATCGAATACGACAATGCTAAAGCTATGCAACATATATTTTTAAAAAGGCTATGTAATTCGATACTGTATTTTCAAACTCACATACAATTATATTTAAAACTCACAAAATAACGCTCTATTTCAGCCCGTTTCTGACCATTTAAATTTTTACTGTGATTTTTTGATAAATTGAAACAAATTAAAAGGGCATCTTTTTAATCTCAAAATTTTACGCGATTCATCATGGTCCATGATAATTAAATATCGGTTGCTATACGAAATAAATAAGCACCTTTTAGTTGTTGAACGATGTTGACTCATTCCCTGGCTGTGTAATTTTCTGTTTTGTATATCAGATTCAAAACATCGTATGGTCACCCAGACTATTTGATTTAAAGCCATAATAAGTCTTTTAAGTCTAAAACTTATGCCAACTAGGCCACAACAAAATTAAACACTCTATCAAAGAAATTCAGCCATCTTTATCTACATAAATTCAGCCACAAAACTTCGGAAAAGACTACGAACATGCCAGAAAACCATGATGACTAATTTTCCCGGGATACTATTCGATACATAATACTATACTATAATAAATATGTAAATGAATAATAGATCATGTATAATGAATATTTAAATGTATAATGAATACATAAATAATTAACAAATACAGAAATATGTAATGAATACGTTCTGTAATCAATAAAAAAAACGCGAATTTTTTAATAAAAACCTGTGTTTTCTATCAAAGTTACATTGTGAATGGATTTCAGGAAACTGTACAATATTGCACGTAAAATTATTATTTACTAGAAGAAATATTTTACTTCCATTCTTAATTCATTCTCAATTAAAAAATCCAACTCTCCTTAAAATGTTCCAGATATTTTTGCTTATGTCAACTGCATTTTGTACACTGTTTTTTATCTACTCCATGGTATAACAACATCAGCCATTACACATAATCCTTTCAGAACTAATACACATAATTACACATTTATTTTCTTACAATTTTAACTATTCGATAGGGTATTGGCTCTGTAATCTAATCAACTAACTAATTAGCACTATTAAATATAATTTATTAGTGTTTCTTACCTGTACTCGCAATGGCTCGTAAAAATTTCTCATATCTGGGTTTAGCACAGCATCGTACCGCGGTTGGAGGAAGAGTGGAGCGTTGTCATTAGCGTCTGAAATTATTACTCTGACTTCTGCCGTATTTCTGTTACCTTTACCTTGGTCATCCCTTGCCTCAACTGTTAAAGTGTACTCAGGAATTCTCTCACGATCGAGTCCTTCCCCTGACAGCAATGTCAACTCACCACTCACTGGATCCAGTCTTAAGCTAAAATAAACGGTGCATATTTTAAAAACAAATATTAAAAGTAATTAAAAAAAATTCAACCCATAAAAGATTTTTTTCCAACTTTTTCACTACTAATAATTTGAATCCATATCTATGAATTTCTAAATTATAGATTATTTTCATTTTACTCTGAAAAATTCCGCTACTGAGCATTCAGTACAATTAAAATTCCGATTCCTCAAGAAAATTATTTTCTTTATCCCTTTCACTATAAATGATTACAATTGGGCAGAGATAGCCTGGTTGGTAGCGCAGTGGGCCCATGTCCAAGAGGTCGTGGGTTCGATCCCCGCAGGTCGAAGTAAATGGTGACTGATGCACGTTAAATATGTCGAGTCTCAAAGAAGTCCTCCATGTTCCCATAACAAATCAATACCTCTGGGGGTACTGATCCGGGATTTTCCTTGTCTTCTGGATTGGTCAAAATTACAAGGTTACGGAGTTGAACATTAGTTGCCGTAAACCCAAAATTGGGTCGACTGTCCAAAGACGGTTAGATAATAAAATGATTCCAATTGATCTCTGATGGCTCAGGTAAAAGAACGTTTGCCTGAGGTGAAACGGATTCGAATCCCGGTGATAGATGGTGAATACGAATTCGCACTTGGCTTGCACCGAACGCAGTGCTGACGCAAAATATCCTCAGTGGTAGGCGGATCATGGGTTAGAGTCCCCTTTCCATCATGCTAACCGTGGAATATTTTCGTAGTTTTCCTCTAGTAGTAACACAAATGTGAGTTAGTGCCCTCCAAAAGTCCTTCACTAAGGCAAATTTCTCCCAATAGTTGATCCAGGAGTTCCCTTGTCTTCTGAATTGGGTTCAAAATTACAAGGCTGCAGAGTTGAACATTAGTAGTCATAAACTCAAAAAAATTGGAATGACTATTCAACGACGGTTATAAAATAAAATAATTTCAATTAGAGTCATGATAAATTTATTTTGTCTGCGAATATTTTCACTTGATTGGCAATCCACGCTCTCTTCCAATATCTCAAATTAAATCTTCCGATATCTTAAATCAAATTAATGTTTTTTCCCCTTTTCACAACTAATAATTCCGAATACAGTCAAGATATCCATGTGTATTTTAGACTGTACAAAATTTCGACTGGATCTAAAAAGTTATCCTTTTTCAGCAATATGAGCGTGTAAAATGTACTTGCCAAAATCTAAAATTTAAAATTATTTGGTTAAAAACTTTTTAAAAAGTAGCAATTTATTTTTAAAAAAACTCATTATACATCATTAAATATTTTTTTTTAATTCTTATATTATTATTATTTAAATTACCGTCATGTGGGGCTACATTGTGCAAATTCGAATTTGGCACTTTTCAAGTGCTGCTATTCAGTATTATGTTTTTTTCACGTTAAAAATGTGTGGAATTTGAAGATAGAAGTCTCCTCTATTACTACAAACATTTTTTCGAATTTTAAAACAATCTCAGAGTGTGTTTTGTTTATCCAATGTCATCAACTTTCCGAGAACGTCAGACGTCGAAAAGTGTGCGTGAAAACTTTAGCTGTGAAATGCAAAGATGTTGATAAAACAATTGTCGTAAGTGCAAAATTTTTTATTTATATATTAATGAACAATTATATCATGTTAGCGTTAAAAAAATTTGAAAATTAATAACAAATAAACGAAAAAAGAGAAAAAATGCACTGTGGGGCTACTCTGTGCAAAATTTCATTCGTTTTTTTTTTCGACAGAAAAATTGTCAGACGTTATAAAAAAATACCTAGAACGAGAAACTACCGTGATTACACTTTAGAAAAGCTGTAACAATGTTTGCAAGCAGTTGCTGGTGGTATGTCGATTGCAGAAGCTTCTCGGAAGTACAAAATCCACAGAAATACTATCTCTTATAAAATTCACAAGAAACACGTGAAACTTGCTGGTAAACTATTATTTTTCTTCTACAAAGGTTTTTCTAATGAATTAATCAAACGATATAACACATAAAAATATATTTTATAGGATTGGTGATTTTGACAGAAACTGAAGAGCAAGTTCTGTCATGTTCATTCAAGCATGTTATGTTCAAATTTATCAATATTATAAATGTTAATGAATGTGTAATAATTATTATTTTTGAAATTTCATCCATTTCAATGTTCAAAAAGTACGTAATACGTAAAAAATAAATTAAATTACATAAAAAATTAAGTTGTTTTAGAAAATTATTAAAGTAAATTATGAGTAGTTATTAAAAAAATTTCTTTAACACAAAATCGCTATGAGTAAAAGATTACTATTCACGTAAATATTTTTATACAATAAGTTTTAAATATATTGCGAAATTCACAAAGTGAGAATAACAATAAGGAGCTACTTTTAGCCAATTTTAAATTTATAGCCTGTCATCAGTTTTGTGTTATTGCAACCCTTTTTTCTTTTTACTAGTTTAATGCAAAATGCAATTACATGCAAATAAAACAGCTAGCTTTCATCAAGATTTGAATGACTAACACAAGTAATGATTATGGCACCACGTGCAGTACTCAGAATTCTCCCTAGGGGAATCATTAATGGAATACGTCAAGCGTATCGATACGATTTTACAGTGATCAGGACAATTTTGTTTGTTGGCTGATAAGATTAAAATGAGTAGATGGATTTTACTACTGAAAGGGTTTTATTGATCGTAAAAAAGAACAGGTGGAATAAATTATAGTCAATAGCAAACCTCCGGAAAAATAAAAAAATAAAAAATAAAAAAAAACATAATGTACGCAATGAATCAAGAACTTCAATAAAGTATATATTATGCATTCTTTTTTTCAATTCGTCATTCGCCTTATTATCCTTAAGTATTTAAATCAACCATCAGAAAGTAATCTGAAAACTTTTTTTTATTCCTGACGATAGTCTTTTATAATAAGTCCGAAATAATGGAAACTTACAAATAAAAAAATATTAAATGACATTTTGAAAACGTTCAATTTTCCTAATTTAAGAAAGAAAATACTATATAATCAACTGCAATATTAATTTGTTACTTAAGACTAATTAATTTGTAACTGTTAAGACTGTTAAGCAATTTGTTACTTTAAATAATAATGTTTCAGTAAGAAATATATGTTTATGTTTTAGTTTGTGTTTATGTTTAATTTAATCTCATTTTTCAAATCCACTATACTGTCTGTTAACACGTTCTTCAACTAAAACAACTACGATTCAATTTCCACGTATGATGATTACATATGATTGCTACACCTAATTACTACACTGTAAAAATTCCGGATTAAATTACATCATAAAGTACCGCACGTGATAAAGTGCCGGGTGCATCATCCGTGAAATTTCTTCTAATTTTAAAATATTATGCCGTACTTTTTGCAATAATATTTATTTCATTAGAGTGATTCAGCAATTTTACGTTAATCATTACTATAAAAATTAGAGTATACAATATTTTTTTTTTTTGCTTTGTATTATGTTCCGCTAAAAATGGAGTTTATGGTAAGAAGTACCGACACCCTGAGTGCCGATACGTTTCACCGCAATTCGATGCGGAATTTTTTTACAATGTATTGCCACATATGATTCCCAGTTATCATTGCAATATATGAAAAAAAATGATATATTTTGAGACTTACTTTCCAGCAATGGGACCGTTAACAGCTGTATATCTTACTACACCATAACTTCCGCTGTCTTCGTCTGAGGCCTGGAAAAGGTGGGAAGGGGGATATATTATTTGATTTTCGGTGGATGAAAGTTTAAAATAATAATATCACGAAAGTAATTAAAATTACCATGCATTTTTTTTATAAATGTTGATATTAAAAAACATTATTTAAAATTTTTAAAAGTCGAATCAAACAATATCTTGTTTAAGTTTATTTCTGTGTATGAAAATCTAGTTTTACTGGAATCTAGTCTTATTGAACATGGAAACCTAGTCGCGTATTTTTACGGATCTTGTGTGTTAGCCTCTTCAGATTCCACATTTGAATCTATTTCTAAGTCAATATATCACTTTTCACCTTTTCGGGAATAGTACATTTTGAGTGAAACTTTCAGCAAAGCTGGACATAGGCAAGTGTGACCTTAAATATCTTACAAGTAAAGCTGCATACTTCAGCTTATTTTTATTTAAAGAATAGTGGTGATAAACTTTTAAAAGCAATTAATATTACATTTCTAGTAGTTAGTAAGATTTGTGGAATTAGTGGCACCAGACTGACTACACTATACCGGAAAAGGTTGTATATAAGCGAAATCTAATTCTAACTTACTTTAACTTACTTTAAAATTGGGGGAAATCGTGAAATAGCTTTACGTTTATCTATATGCCTTAGTATTGTAACTATTTTTCTGCACTATTTAAAAATTAAGATTTTGGCTTTAATCCTCCAAGCATCGAGCCCAGCACAACATTTTACTAAAATTTCTCTAGTACTTGCTACTTTTCCATTGGATAATATAGAGAAAACAGGGAGCTTTTGATGCACGTAGGCCTCTAGTTTAAAACCTATGTCAAAAAAAAGTAATTGAAACTTTTTTTTATAAATTGTTTCCTAACAAGAAATTTGATTGTACACAAAATTCAACATCATCAGAGACATATTTTACAGATTCACAAACAAATCGTGCCATCTACTAGTTAAAAGGCACAAACTTTCTGTCATATACTACTTTATAAACATATGTCGCTGGCAAATTAGAAACTCCAACACTCCGCAGGCCATCACAGTCATTTGCAATGTGCCAGGCTGATTATAATAGTCTCCAGCTTATTCTTATAAATTAAACTTTTTAGACATATTGCAATGAGCTTAGATACTTTAAGGCTAATAAGAAATTACATTATCCATTACTCATTTAACTAGATTTATTTCGAGCTGTCTAAAGTAAGCCCAGCCAAGTACTTTTAAGCTAATTATTGCTCCATTATTCTAATTTACAATACTTCTCTGCATAAGTTGCCGGCATAATAAAAGACTCATTATATTATGCCTAATTTAATTCTGGCTGATTGAATAAATATTTTCACATTTTTAATTAACCAAAAAACATATGGGTTTATTGTAATAAGCCTGAAAAATACCTGGCTGAGTTGAACATGCTCATTGTATTAAACCTAATAAAATTCTATCTAATTCAATAAATCTTTGTAAATTTTAATTAGCGTAAAAACATATAGACTGATTTTATAATTTTATTTTATAACCGTCTCTGAACAGCCGACCCATTTCTGAGTTTACGGCAATAAAAGTTCAACTCCGTAACCTTGTAATTTTGAACCAAACCCAGAACACAAGGGAACACCTGGATCAAGTATTGAGACAAGCTAGCCTTCGTGGAAGACGGAAGTAAGCCTGATTTGTGTTGCATGGTGAGGAAAAACACAAAATCCTCCCACGGTTGGCCCATGGCAAGAGGATTCTAACCCATGATCCGTCTACCACTGAAGATATTATAAGACAGCACTGCAGTCGGTGCGAGCCTGGAGCAGAAATCATGTCAACCAGCCGCTGCTGGGATTCGAACCAGGTCACCTCATTGGGCGGAGAACGCTCTGGAATACTGGAAAATTTTCCCATCAGAATGCAGAAGGAGGGTGAAGATTCTAATTTTTCAAATATCCTGCATCTAACAGAGATCAATATTTTAAAGACTTATGTGTATTGTTTACCTGGATTTTTGTCAAGGTAGTGCCTATCGGTGCATCTTCAGGTAAGGTCACGTTATATACTTCGTGGGAAAAAATGGGGATGTTGTCATTCACATCCAGCAAACGAACTCGAATTTCTGCAGTCGCAGACAATGGGCGAATTGAAGCTGTTTCACGTGCCACAATCTGAAATAAAATGTTTTTAGTGAATCACAAAGATTATGCATTATAATAATTTTAGTGCTGTGAGAAATCACTTTCGGAAAAATGATTGCTTCAATTTATTGACCTCACAACGAAAAATTCTGGAATTGCTTACTTTGAAATCTATGTATTTAGTCTCTGAAGTTTCGTAGTCCAATTTTGTGGGATCCTTGACCAAAAGAGCGAAATTCAATTCATTCATTCCTCTTGATGGTTGCACACTAAAAGCTCCGCCATCCTCTTCCAAAAATAACTCAAAGCTACCGTTTTTGCCCTTAAACAATAAGAATGGTTTGTAAAAAAATATATTTATGTTAGAAATACATAATTCGTATTATTAATATAAGAATCGAAAGAGCTTTTGATTGATTTGATTATATATATATAAATATATATATATATTCTAATGATATACTTGTGCTTCCTTAAATACATTGCTTTANATGACTTAATGGGAGAATCGTACAAAATTAAAATTATTTAATTATTTCACTTTATATATATATATATATATAAAGTGAAGAAATTTGAATAAATTTCCTAGAAATAGCTTAGAAGCAATGCGTAACAATTACTATAAAATCTCCTGTTAAACGAGCAGTAAAACGAGCAAGAGCTGAGATTTGCAACCAGCTCTTGCTCGTTTTACTGCTTGAGAAATTGTTGTAATCCTTACAGTGCCATCTAAAACTTTTTTCCTCCTCACTTCCGAAAGACGAAAGGATTTTCTTAATGGTGTTTGCAGGTTCCTCCATGGTTGGGGTTTCCCCAGCAGAGCGGTGTACCCCGCCAAATGCTCTGTAGCGTATATGTACCGCGTTTAAATCCCTCCGTAATCCTGGATCTGTATCTTCGCGCTGTCTTTCTCTAAATTGTACTATTGGCTTTTTGAATTAACAAAGGCTTATAAGCCGTACTTAAGTAATTGAGTTCTAAAGCCAACATATGAGTGTGTACTGATAAATAAAATAAATTTGCATGGTAATAATCTGTTTTTCAATTGAAGACGTTACGTCAATTATTCGAGCCAGACTTTTATAGGGCAGCAACAGAGGAAAGTATATCGGCCAATTATTATGGGACTACACAGATTATTATGCCTGGCAGTCATTAGAAAACATTAAAGAAAACCACATTGAACCATCATTGACTACAGAAATAATCAAGTATTCGACATTCATTGTAGAGCAGGTGATAAAGACAGTTTTATAGTTTTACGATGGCACACATTACTTTTTTATTTATTTATTTTATTGATATTATCGTCACGCAGTAGTTCCTCTAACTTATTATTCAAAAGGATAAAAGATGATATCTATTTCTCAAATTAACCCCCAAAAAGCTTAGCAAAAATTATAATGATTAATATGATATTGTTAGTTATGGATTCTAAATAGTTTTATAGTTATATATTCCGTTGTATTTATACTTATAAATTGTTTTTATGGATTTTTTATAGTTTCTATAAATAATTCATTAAAGTATGTGATACATTTTTTTCAAAATTTTAAAATACAAGATAGTGCAATAAAATCTCATATATATTACAATATTATACATTATGACTTTAAATTTTTTTTTTTTTGACTTTGAAAATGTCTTGCAAAATGTGCGAGTTCCTTCTTCATTACTTCCATGAAAATGTCTAAAATTACTTGTGCTAAATAGCAGAAAAATAAGTATTATATACTGTGACAAATTTGTAAATAACTGTATAATTTTGTGAATATTCTTTTGTTACGAGTTTAAATAACTCAGATGGATCACAATTAGACAGATTAGAAAATTTGCATGAAAGGAGCGTAATTTTAACGTAATTTAGTGAGAAAATAACACCTAATGTATTTCTTATGGAAGACTCGGTTAGGCGAAATTTTTGCCTACTTGGTGATAATTGGAGACCATTTTGGCAACAAAACGATAGCTCTGGGAACCTCTAATTTCAAAGTTGACTCGGTTAGGTGAAATTTTTGCCTACTTGGTGATAATTGGCAATCATTTTGGCAACAAAACGATGATTCTAGGAACCTCGAAATTCAAAGCTGACTCGGTTAGGCGAAATTTTTGCCTACTTGGTGATAATTGGCGATAATTTTGGCAACAAAACGATAGTTCTAGAAACCTCGAATTTCAAAGTTGACTCGGTTAGGCGAAATTTTTGCCTACTTGGTGATAATTGGCGATTATTTTAGCAACAAAACGATAGTTCTAGGAACCTCGAATTTCAAAGCGATGGGATCAATATTTACGGAGTTATACGAGAATCGTCTAGAATCATATCGAAAGCTCCTGGGTTTCCACTCCAGGCTATATAAACAGCAGTGTGCCTCGCTAAATATTAGACTGCTTATGACTGCTATAGTGTTCTGATCTGTGAGTCTCTAATGAATTCATTGAACCGTCTGAAGTTATTAATCCTGTGTTTTGCTGTATTACACTGTTATTTGAGTTGTAATTGAATGCTAAAAATAGCTGTATTTTCTGGAAGATCCTGCTGATAATTTTTTGGAGTCTTAAGGACTGTTTCATTCATTTTCAATCTAAACAAACCCCCGTGTTTGGTACAATATAGTTCTTAGTAACTATTTACCTGGTCGTCATCCACTGCTTTCGGTGCTTCCGTACCTTCCCATATCACTGAAGTTAAGCCAGGACTGTTTTCTTCGACAGTGGCCACATACCGCTTGCTTAAAAATCTCGGGGGTTTGTTCTCTGTGTTCACTAATACCACGGCTAATGTCGCAACAGAACTGGCTGGAAGACCAGGTATTGATTCTGATTCCACTTCTGTTGCCTAGCAAAACAATTTTAAAAACGTTGCTATAAGATTAAATTGATTATTTGCATCAATATATCACAAATTAAAATACTAAAAGATGCATATAAATACAATAAAGTGTTATTTGTAACCTAAAAATGCTATTTTGATATAAAATAAAAAGAATTAGAATTTTTTTTAAATGAATTAGGAAGAATTTTTCACGGAATTTGTATAACAATTATTTATTCTACATTCCAACACGTTTAACATTTACAACCGTTACTGCAGAAGGAAAAGCTTAAAGATTTTGCTGCCCGCTTAAAGACACGCACTACATGAATGCTGCATGCACACCTTTTAAAATATAATAAATGTATCTCAAGTTCCTCCGACCGCCGCAACAGTTTGAAAAAAATATCGTGCATCTCCTGTAGTAGCATGTATCACTGTGTGTAGAAATACAGAATAATTTATGTAGAATGATTTTTGTTTATAGTTCTTTTCTATTAAGAATAATTTGCCACCCCATCTAGGGACTCCGAATAGCATTTGCAACCCCGTGTCCCTTTGTAAATTTTTATTCGTTTTGTATGCTTACCTTACCCTTGCATTTAAGACAGGATATTTTGAAGTATTCTGTATATTTCACAAATATATGTAGCACCCAGTATATTTTATCGGCATTGTATTTTAGTATATTTTATAACCAATGTTGAGCAAATGACAAAATTCTGCTATTATGATCAATGTTCAACTTCGTAGCTTCGTAATTTTGAACCTAATCCTGAAGACGAGGAAACATCTGGATCAAGCATTGAGTGAATCTAGCTTTCCTAAAGGATTTTTTGATGGGATTAGCCAGCATTTTCGTTACATGGATGAGGAGGAAAATCAAGAAAACCTCCCACGGTTAGCCAGACGGCAAGAGGTCTCTAACTCGTGATCTGCCTACCGCTAAGGATATTTATGCCAGTACTGTGATTGTTGCGAGCCAAAAACAGAATTCGTATTGACCAGTCTACTCTAGGATTCGAACCCGGGGCACCTCAATGGCAGGCGAGAGCTGAGTTCCCGTAGCCACCACGGATCCGAGAATCAAACACATCTAAACGATATTCATACAATGGGTATTTTTACAAAAAGTTAAACATTCTGTACTTTCTTTCTGTATTCCATTTGTAAGGCCAAATATAAAATATTTGTGTGAAGCTCAAATCAAGTAAATTTTTTTTTAAAAATATTATTTATTTAATTTTATTTATTTAAGTTAGTTTATTTAATTTTGTTTCATTTTATTTATTTTATTTTATTTTATTTATTTGAATTTAATTTAACTTAATTTATTTCTTTTTATTCAATTTTACTTCATCTTATTTTTTTTTTTTAATTTATTTATTTTTTTTGTGTCGTAAAAGCAATAGGAAAATAAGAGATATAAGTTTGTAATTTAAAAACTACTAGAAATATTATAATTCATAATATGTCTTTTTTTAATTTATTTACCTGAATCGACAGAACTAGTGGTCCTGTAGTAGAGTACGTTTCTCTCAAGTGCTCTGTAGAGGATGCTAAAGTTATCAGACCCGTTCTTGAATGAATATTAAAATACGTCACACCTTGAGATTCTGAAATACATCAAAAAATAAAAAATGGTACATTAAAATGAATAATATCAGCTTTAATTACAATGAAAATATATCCTTTATAATGAATACTAATTTAGCAAAATAAACCATTTATAATAAATGAATGCAATTTGGAAAATATATTGTCAGTATTTTCCGAAGTTATTTTTATGTTTTTATTAAAATGACTTTTTATGTTTTTATGCACGATATGCACTCGTTATTAATATTTGATAGCGGATTTACTCGGAAATTAAATTTTTAAAATCAATTTTTGATTTTACGTAAAGCATAAAGAAGGAATAGTTCTATCAAACTAAATTATTTACCTGGAACAAATGAATATGAAATATTTCTTTGATTGCCATAATCACCATCCTCTGCTGTTACTTGAGTTACTGGTCCACCCTAAAATAATCACAATGATTTATAAATATTAAATCACTTTCCATAAAATACAAAAATGTAAAAATACCTTTTTTGCTTATTATTTTTGTATCAAGAAGGGAATATTTAAACTTTCGATTATAAACTTAAAAATTATAAGGGTTATTCTCCAAGGCACTTGCATTTCCACAAAAAAAACGCTCAGAAGATGACGATGCTTTCGGTTATTAAAAAATTACTTTCTTTTTTATTCATCCAAATTACAGAAAAAACCTAGAGCTTAATGTTTTTCTTTCTAATGTTTTAAAGCATCATCTAAAGGAAACAACATGTTTCTATAACTTTTTCGTCTAAAAGCAGTTTATTTAATTTTTTTTTAAATCCAGGTGCGTCATCAGCTTTATTTTTCTACGCCAATTAGCCAATTAATTCCATAAAAATATGAGATATTAAAAGAAAAAAAAATTAAAACGCAAATACACTGGTTATCATAAATTAAGGAAAATTCACAAAAATCGCGATAACTCTTTAAATTACACATGGAATTTTATGAAACTTACCCACAATATACAACACATAGTAAGGTATTAAACAACATAAAAAGAAATTATCAGACATTAATAGTAGTATAGAAATTAGCACATGTATAAAATAAACAAATTGGAAGTATCGGTTTGCAATAGAAAAAGTACCTTTAATATGGAATATGATTGCCTCTAGAAGCAATACAGCACAAACAGCGATGTGTGATGCTTTCAATTATGCGGTCTATCAGTTCAATAGGAAGTGAGAGCCATTGCTCTTGTAAAGCAGTTGCAAGCGTGGCAAGGGTCTGAGGGGGCGGATTGATGGCAGATACACGCCTCCCTAGAGCATCCCAAACGTGCTCGATAGGATTCAAGTCCGGGGATCGAGCTGGCCACTCCATGCGAGTAATTGTTTCCTGTTGAAGATAATCATCAACAATGCGAGCTCTGTGTGGTCTTGCATTATCGTCCTGTAACAGGAAGCAATCACCAATTGCCCCGGCATATGGGCGCACATAAGCATCAAGGATGTTGTCTCGATAAACCTGAGCATTCACGGTTCCCCTTGGAAAGACATGGAGGTATGTGCGCCCTCCTAAGGATATGCCTCCCCAAACACAGACACTGCCTCTTCCGTATGCATCTCTTTCACGGATGTTTGATGGATGATAACGGGTCCCAGGTTCTCTCCATATCAAATAACGTCTACTGTCACTTTCTAGACTAAACCTGGACTCATCCGTAAAGAGAACAGGCCTCCATTGATCTGACGTCCAGTGGACATGTTGTCGGGCCCACTGCAAACGGTCTCTCCTATGGCGTGATGTGAGCGGCACGCAAATGGCTGGTCGTCTCGCATACAGACCACCTTCGTGGAGCCTTCTGCGCACAGTTGACGTTGACACCAACCTTCCGGTGGCTGCAGCAAGAGAGGATCTAAGATGTGTCGGAGTAGCGGTTCTATTCCTGCGTGCACTTAATGTCAAATATCGGTCATCGGCACTGGTCGTAACAGTTGGCCGTCCTTGACTGAACCTCCTAGATGCCGAATCTGTGGTTTGAAATTGCCTCCAAAGTCTATGAACCACAGATGGACTCACATTTAGCCATCTGGCCACTTCTGATTGACTCTGCCCTGCCTCTAGTCTCCCGATGGCTCTCCATCGTAGTTCTTCAGGCAAATGATGCCTAGAGGTCATTATTACGAATTGGCTATCTCAGATTTTCAATGTCGCAATCACAGTAAAATTTGTGTGCTTTCTCTCAAACTTGGACTTTTATGCTCCAGGCAGATGACGTAAGCCGAGTGCAGCGCCACTAATTTGCATATTGCAATTTTACTCAGCTACTCTTAGTGGACAACATATGCAAATTTTGCACGGTTTGGCTTACTTTTGAAAGAGTTATCGCTATTTTTGTGATTTTTCCTTAATTTATGATAACCAGTGTAATTAACTCAAAACAACAACTATAAAATACTACTTTTCTGTGAATTAACCTTATTGGTAAATTACAAATAATTACTTAAAAACGCTTCCTCAAGAATATTTTTTACAAATATTATTTAAATTAACACACTGAATTACTAAAACTAATATTTTGTCTTTGCAATATATGTTTTAAGTTATTGAAAAATACATTTTATTTGCAAAATGAATCTTTGTCCAGGAATGGTTATATTTGGTTCAATAATTAATAAATATTGAAACAAATTCTGCAAAAAGTAGCATGGTAGAGTTCGGCTATGTTGTTTGAATTATTTTATTTTATAACCGTCGTTGATCAGCAGACCTAATGTTGGGTTTACGACTACTAATGTTCAACTCCGTAGCCTTGTAATTTTGAACCCAATCCAGAAAACAATGAAATTACTGGATTAAGTATTGTGAGGAATTTGCCTTCGTGGAGGGCTTTTTGAGGGAACTAACCCGCCCTTGAATTACATGGAAACTACGGGAACCTTCCACTGTTAGCCTGACGGCAAAGGTTTTCTAATGCATGATCCGTCTATCACTGATGATTTTTAGTTCAGCACTGCGGTCGGAGCGAAATTCGTATTGACCAGCTAGAATTCGAACTCCGTATACATCATCGGAAGGCGAACGCCCTTAAACCACCGCGTCTCAATGCTGAAATATTGTATTAATTAAAACTTCATAGATGAATTCATAATCTACAAATATATTTGAAGTATATACCATAAAATATGTAATTTTAACAGGCTAATAGCAACATTTTATTCATTATAAATAAAAAATTAAGATTTTGACTTGACGAAACTTATACATTTTTAACACTCATTTAAACTATTTCCACCATCTTGGAGTTTTAATTTGCTACCAAAAACTTTCTGAGGTTTAGAGCCAACTACTGGTTGCCAAATTTACTTTGAATCTCCGCTTACTCCCGGAATCAGCGAAATATCATTCATCAGTACTTTCATTTTTTGAGACTTGTGAAATTTTATGGCTTAACGAATTAAATTGCTATTATAAAGTTAAATAAGACTAAAACAAAATCAAATAGAATCTTATTCCACTAGCGATGGAAATACGCATCTCGAAAATTCCATGTAAAACAAAATGAAGCTTAAATTAAAGAACATGTTTGAAAATATTGAATAGGGTATAAATTAGCCGCCAGATCTATCCCTAGGGTAAAATATGCCCTTCTACCAAAGAGGTCAGGGATTCAAATTTCAGCAGTTATGTTTGAATTTTATCTCTAACTTTCTTCTCTAAAAGGGTTGATAACAACTTAATATGCTTTATTCGATTTACAAATTATTATTATTTTTAAATAAATTAATTTTTTTTTAAATTTAAATTAATAAAAACAAAAATATTATGGATATTAAGCTTTTTTCCATTATTTAATTAAAATATATGGATTATTTAAAAAAAATTTAATTTGAAATTTAAATTGATATTTTGTAATGTTTTTAAAATGAAAAAATTAATTTTTTTGAATAATTTACTTATTTTAATTAAAAATAAAAAAATACCTTAAACAATAATTTATAAACTGAATAAAACATTTTAAATAGTCAATAACTTTTCTCGAAAAGAAGATTAGAGATAAATTTCAATCACTGCCCCAACTCAGGCTGGGATATGAATCCTAGCTCTCTCTGGTAAAAAGCGGACAGCCTAACCGTTACACCGCAAATTAGCTGCAAAATTTTTGTAGTTAATTATCTGAAATTTTAATAGGGCATGTTTGACCTTTAGGACAGATCTGGTGGCTGATTAGTAACCTATCAAAAGTTTTCAAACAGGTTTTTTAACTTGCAATAGTTAACTTTGCTTTGATTGGAATTTTCGAGATGAGTTTTACCTTTGTAAGCTCTTTAATTAAGAATTAATTTTAAACTAACCACAGGTAGGCTATCTGAGACTTTGACAACAGGCGGTATTTCATGGAAGACAGGAGGGGTGTCTTGGGCATCTTTCACTGCCACTAACACTTGCAGAACAGCGATATTTCGAGTATCTACTTCTTCGTCGGTCCAAGGATTCTGAACACAAAAATTAATAATGATGGAGATGAGAAAAATGGCATTTCAAATCATGTCATTTACTTATTTATCTATTTATGTATGAATTTAAGTATGCATATAAAATGCACAATATTTGAAAAGAATACATTTATACTAATCCATCGAATTTATTAAGAATTTATTCTCTTAAAATAAATTGAAACTAAATAACTTTTTTAAATTAAATAACCCTATGACGCAAAATTTTATTAAACATATTTTTCTTACTTTTTCATTATTTTGAATTGATTTAGGGCAAAATAAAAGAAAAATATCATATTTAGCATTTTAATATTTAACGGTTATGAAATACAGCATAAAACACCGATGTCTTTTTCTGTGTTAAAGGTAAATTCTTCGAAACACGACTCACTTCCTAAACAAAATTTTCCAAGTTTGCACGTATTTGCAGTTATTTAGATCAAAGAGAAATTTTTATTCATCATTGAAATTTCTTTAACTTACGAAATCGATACCTGATAAATTTTTGAATATGAAAGAAAAAAAAATTATATTTTGGATATTATATTTTATTACAAATATAATTCCCATAATCTAACAGATTTTTAAGAACTATTAGATTTTTTTCATAATTAAAAAATACCAAAACATATTTTTGCTTGTAATTAGAGCTCCAGAAACTGCGTCATAGAATTAATAAGTTGTATAATTGCAGAAAATTATGAAAATTAGAGCAAATTTTCCGCAGTTACTTTTTCTATAAATTAGATTGACAGATTCCTCAAAATTATTCATATACATTAAATTTTCCTCACAACAATTATTTATCTTTAAAATTCTGAAAACAAATTTTAAAAAACAAATAGTTTTCCATTGGTTATAGTTAATATGTTTGTTTGCATCAATATCTAATGAAAAAGAGAATGGTGGTTCTTTTAATTAAAATTTATTAACTAATTAAAAATAAAATAAAAAAGTAAAAAAAATTAAACTATTGCAAATCTTTTTGATTTTTCTAATTAATCTTTCTAATTGAAGAATGAAATTTATTCTTTAATTTAAATTTAAAAAGACATTTTAATATTTGAAAAAACCTTTCAATAAGTGAACTAAGAGAATAAAATTGCTGGAACTTCATAGAATAAGGACATATATATANTATATATATAAATGATCTATTATTGTTGAATTATTTAAATGATGATAATGATAGTATTTATTGAAAAATAATTAAGTATGGATGAAAACGGTAGGAAAACTTATTTATTTCAAAATTAATGAAGTGTACAAACATTTACATTATATGCATCATATTTATTCAAGTGCAAGCTAATTTCAACCTTATGATAATTAATTTAATTTCGTTTATTCAAAACCTTGTATAAGAGATAAAATTTGCCCCATGGAGCCAATTAATAAAAATACTTACCAGTGCGTAAATTGTAAGGGAGTATAAATTCTGTTTTTCGTAATCTAATTTCTGAACAAGAAAGAGTTCGGCTCTTGTGGCTTCTTTCAAAGGACTGATGAGGTATCGAATAGAAAACTTATCGGAACCATCTACTTCGAACAGAACTGATAGACTACTGCTGTTTCTTTTCTTGACCACAATGGTTCCGATAACTTCTTTTTCGTCTGTGAGCTACAACAAATTAGATCGGTCACATGCAGTATTTAAAACCAATGACATAATTTTAAAAATATACAATTGCATTCGTATGAGTTTTAATACACGGGGATTACTCTTAATTTTGACATACTCATTACATATTTAATACTGTTATATAGGGATTTTAAGTTTATTTTTTAAATAGTTCTTTTTTGTTAGATAATAAATAAAGTCAAATTGGAATCTGTTTTTATCTCTCTTAAATTAGGTTTTTTTCATATTTTTAAAAATTTCAATATAGATTGTTAAGATTTACTCATGCAACATGTCGTATCTCCCTTTCCCAGTACTTTCTACATGAACTTAAACTCAAACTTATTAAATAAAGGTCTGAAGAGAGAAAGAGAGAAATTCTTATAACTATGAATAAATAATCACTATTTAAAACAAAAATATTAAGAAAAATTTGCAAAGAAAGCAATTAAAATTGCTATACCTTTTGAGCAAACTTAAATTTTTAAAAAAACCTCAATTAATGGTTCCCTCAACAAGTCAAATTTCAATTCAGTAGTTGATTTACTGAGGGCTGCATAGTGTCTAGCATGATATTTTTTACTACAAGTTTAACAGACTATAATTCTCGAACTAATTATCAAACTACCTCGAACTTCCTTTTACATTATTTTACACACCTTCATAGATTCAAGTTTCAAGTTTTATAATATCTGTGGCACAGTAAATCAAAATGCAACGTAAAATTGAGCACTCAAAACAACGGCAGTGACGCCGCGTTCAATTTTTTTATATAGAGAGATAAGTTAATTCAAAATTAAACGTTCTTTTTAGATTTTTGTACATTTATCTTAGAACCTAATATTTTATTCCTCATGAGGTACGTCTCACTCAGATAATTTCATTTAAGTTCACCTCATATTTTTAGAAGCATCAATCAATTGAGTTTAATACTCTTTCGCTAATATATTCATAAAATTCCACTCTAAAAAATTTATAGAATCTTACTTCGGATACAGAAATGAGAGAATCATATTCAATGAAAGGTGATTTTTGGTTCGTAGCATTGCTGATGATTACAGTGGATTCTACTTCTGTGGTCTAAATCAGAGAAAAATAAATTTTTAGAATTAATAACAACAGTGTAAACATAATAAGAACACCACATGTATGCATAGAAACTCACCTGTATACCGTCTGTTACATAAATGGTGAATTTGTATTCTTTTTCCTATAAATAAATTTCAAAAATTATTTTCCTTAAAAAAAATTACACAAGGATTACAAAGAACATTTCAAAACAATTGAAAAATAGCAATAAATTACTATACGTGTCTTTATTTTTGTAACTTCTAATCTTCGTCATATTCCAGATATAAATTTAATTATTTCAAATGTTCATGAAATTAATTAATGTTTTAAATGTTAATTTGCCAAAATTGTAGACTCTTTCAGGAATATGATTTGATGTAAATCTAAAATTGAAAAAAGGCTTACCGTGGGTATAGATTTTAAAAAAACATTGGCTCTTGTTTCCGTTATGGACCGGATATCTAACAATTGATTTCCTATTTCTCCTCTAACGCCAAAAGTAAGGATATCATTATCAGGATCAGAACCTCGCAATCTGTAGATGAGAGTGCCTATACAAATTCAGCAATAACAAATCATAAGTTAGAATGACATATTTAACAATAACAAATTAGAGGGTAGCAGAACAAATTAAGCAAAACAAAATTAGAGGTTAGCATAACAAATTTAGAAATATTAAATTTAAAAACATTAAATAAATTAATAAAAATTACCAGGTTTTGTATCCATTGGAAGCTTCAAAATTCGCATATTATGAGAAAGATCGATTGTTGGGGCAACTCCTGAAATTAAAACAAAAAATATATTTTTATGCCAAAGATTCTATATATCTAGATTTAAATTGTTCTGTTTCACCTGTGCCCTTAACAACTGTCGAAAAGCATCTAGATTTCTTTTAATTTTATTTAAATAAATTCATCCACTTCCGACAGATGTCAGTGAAGTTTCATAAAAGTTAAGGTGATAATTTAAATTATTTAGTTTTAGTAATTTTTTTTAAACAAAGTCATTTTTTATCATAATGCGATGCAATTATGCAATTACGAAATTGAAGTACATGCCTGCAGCCGTTGTGACAAATGCCATGAGAAAGGAGATGCTCCAGATCATATTCAAGCCTCTTTCCGCCGCGGCTTCTTCATGCTTCCGCTGGATTAGGAACCACTCAATTCATCTACAAAGCAAAAATAACTGTAACTACATGATAACTTACAACAATGACTCTGGTAATCCCTGTTCCTTTAACCACTGTTGTTAATCATAACTTCCTTTAGCTGTTTACCTTATTTCAAGTTTTACAGTTTAGTAAAGAGTTGATTTAAAATAAAATCTCATAATTTAGAAAGTATAGAAGTAAGTATACGTGTACAAAATTGAAGTATGCTATTTTTTCGTTTATTTCCTGTTATCATCCAAATAAGTAGCTGGACTTCTTAAGCTAATTCACCAACTAGCATTTTTACTCCATTTAAACATTTAGAAATTAATGCACATGATTTTTATTGCCTCATAAAACTATTACAACTAATTAATATTATAACTCATATTTTATATTTTATTTTTTATCTATTTTGTTTCACGGATTTTTATTCTTTATCATTACAAACTTGTGCATACTAAGTTAATTAAACTAATTCAGAAGAAAAATTAACAGGAGTAATTTTAACAAGACACTTATTATGCAGAATTTTACCTTACACTTCTAACATATGAAATGCTATGGAAATTTTTTAATCAAGTGAATAATTTTCAAAGAATAAAATATAGTTTAATTTTTGGTTTTTAATATTTATTAGAACTTTAGAAAATTTATTAGAAAATTATCAGAAAATTTATTAGAAAATTATCAGAAAATTTATTAGAAATTTATTAGAACGTTAGTCTATGGTTTTAATTTGCAAAATTCATAACTCTATAACGCATATTCATAAGTTTCATTAAAACGCATATTCATGTAAATTTGTCTAATGTTTTTACATATATGTTTCATATAATTGTTTATAGTATTGATTTATTTATTCTAAGAATAATTTAATTATTTATGAAGATAAAAAAAATGAATTTATCGATTAAAACTATTTAAATTAAGCAGAAAAAATGACGATTCTAAATGAAAACCTAGTTAAACCTACAATATTTTTTAAATTATTAAACGAGCGAAATAAATATTTTGGAAAAAAAATGTTTCAGATTATTCCGTTCTTCCTCACTGGCGCGACCAACTCCTGGTTTTTCATAGTATATTATCCCAAACCGCCCTGGTCAAGGATCGCCAAATTTATTACTTTTTTGGTTTAAGGTCATTTTCTTAGTGATTGGACCACGTTATTCTTACTATTTCTCTTTTTTCAGTTGTGATTGGTATAGCCAGAAAGATCTTTTTTTATTTTCTGTAAGAAATGTTTGAAGTCAGGTTTGGAATTCTTTTAAATTAATTATGCAGAATTATTTTAAAAAAAGAGAGAAACTAAAGAGTAGATCTTTAATTTAAAATCAGATTAATAAAAGAAAGTTGTATAGCAAATGATTTCAAAAATTTCACGGTTTTGGATTAATTTCTTAATTTGAAGTTCACATTTTACAATTTTTGTTTCAAGTTAATTTTTTAATTTTAATCAAATACCAATGCTTCTTACTTTATTCCACTTCCTTATTTTACCTGTACGTAGTCAAGAAATATATACGTATGGAAGGTTTCGCAAATACCTAATCATGTGAAAAAGAAGAACGTTTTGCCAGAAAACAATAAATAAAGTTGAGTACTAGGAAGCTTCACAAGTATTTAGTGATACTCTTGGGAAAGAACGGAATACCGGTGACCAAACGTCATAGTGAACAAAAATAAACTGTAGTGTAAGTGAAGTAAGAGTTATCGATGAAATAATCAAATTGAAAACCTAGCAACGCAAGTTTGAAAAAAAAATGGTTTAACGCTTATATAGTCAACTAAGCTGCATTGTTTCTGTTTTATCATGTTAAAAAGACAATAAATTATGCATTAAGAATGATTAATATTTTATTCTGTATGCATACGCATTAATTTAGATAAAAGTAATCAGTTTTATAATTGTATTTAAAGCATATTTTTAAAGTTTTAATGCATGTATTGTTATTTAGCTGAATTTAATTTTTAATACATTTCCACTATTTTTGTTTTAAAAGAAAATTAATTATTTTTTAGCTTATAATTTTTTATCAAATGTTTATTTAATTTATTTCTTTATTCTAACAGCACTTCTAAGAAGGAAAGTACTTTTTGAAACGTCTTAAATATATTCCTAACCATCATGATAATATTATAATACTCTTCGATTTTGAAAACTTTCAAAATGATCTTAAATATAAATAGTTTTTAGATATTGTTTAAGAAAAGTAATTCCTAAATATATTGTCAGTTGTTTGCTTCTGTTAATACAAATAAACAAGTAAAATTTTTACCATATTTACCCCAAAATATTACAACGTAATTTTTACAGTAATATTTATTTAATTAAAGATATTCAGTGATGTTACGATAATTAGTTTTGTAAAAATTAAGGCATATCAGATAATTTTTGTTTCGCAACACGTAAAAATAAATTTTTACATGTTACGTAATATAACGTAATGTTATTGATGAATGATTGTGTTTTTAACAGAGATTTGATCCAGAATATTTTTACAGTGTACCAAAAAATGGCTTAGAAAAATTATAAAATTTGTTCATCAAGTAATTCAAAAATATAACCATAAGGCCTAAGAATATATCTAGCGAATATGATATTGGTTATTCATAATATTAAAAAGGGAAGTTTCTTCAGTTGATACAAATAATTTTATAGTACAATGCAGCTAACAGAATATAGTTCAGAAAAATATAGGCTTGTTTATAAGTAAAAGTTAGCTAATAAGCAAAGTAAAAGTTTCACAAATATAAACTTAAAATCTGAGCATATGTTAAATAAATAAATTATAAATTATTCATAACATTTAATATGTTAAAAAAAATTCAATGGACAAAAGTTAAGAATTATACGATATTTATCCAATGAAATCTTTTTTTTAGGAATTTTACTTATTTTTGTGACACTTAAAGATGAAGTCATTTAATTAACGATTAAATTACTTAAGATAACAATAGATCAATTAAGATAATAAAAATTGAATAATTGAGATAATATGATATATTAATTAACACTAATAACACCTAAAATATATTCGTCTATGTTACATTTACCTTCGTTCGAAATGAAGAGCAGAATCTTTTCACTTTTTATGCGTGTATTTTATTTTTTGGTTACAAACCGTGAGAAACACCATTTATTGTTAACACGCAAATAATGTTAATGGATAAAAAGTAGCACATTTTCATGAAAGCTGATGGATTCTTTTATTGATCTTCTGAAACCTATTACCATTGTTTTAACGCATGAAAATAAAACAACTGACACAAATTTATCAAAACTCAATTTGATTTGAAATCTAGGTAACATGATATACGAAGCTTCAAATTTTGCCAGTCATTTATTTTCTCTACTCTTAATGCTTTTCTTCGAATGCTGTTCTTTATTGTTATATAATAACTCTTAGAGCAGGGTTTCTTAACCTGTGGTTCATGAACCCCTAAGGGGTCCATGAGTTGTATTTTGGGGGTCCGCTGACAACTCCTAATTTTTAGAACGTTTGGAAGCCTATTCGTTGCTTGTAAAGCGAGCTATGGCAGCTATAATTCCGTTTGCTACAGTGCATCTTTGCAAGGAGGGATTTTCCACACTTGTGACAATAAAAACATAACATCCAAATCGATTGAATGTTGAACACGATATGCACGTTGCTTTTATCAAAAACCATCTCCCAATTCAATTTATTAATTAAGGAAAAGCAGCAGCAACCTTCACAATAAAAATTTTAATTTTAAAAATTTTGTAAACTATTGAAATAATAAAATTAAATGTTTTCTAATAATTGATGTTTCTTACAATTATTTTTTTCGCAGGGGGGTGGTCCATGACTTCTTAAAAAATTTAAAAAGGGGTCCATTATATCAAAAAGGTTAAGAAACACTGTCTTAGAGAATAATACACTATTTTTATAACTGTTATGAGTTCGTAACAGTTGTTTATTAACTGTTAAGTTATGACTGTCATTCAGTAACGTTTCGGTTACGATTTACCCATCTCTAACAAATTTTCTCTGTGCTGATTATAAAAAATAGTAATGCAGAAATACCACACATTTTTAAAAACAATGGATTTGTAATCTAATTTTACAGTATTTAAAAAGTTACAATTACACTGCATTGTTTGACTCATAAATGTGTTAAAAAAATTAGTAATAAACTTTTTTTTTCGTAATTTTCATCTAATTAAAAAAAAATCATAAAATTGGCGATATTGTGCATATTGTTCAGTGGAAGACTGAGAATTATTTTAAACATCTTCTGGCTTAACACTATTTAAAACGAAGATATACTAACAAAGGCAAAATTATCATCCATTCATGGGGAAATTTTGAAAAGAAGATTGAGATAGACTGGAATAGAAGAAGATAGAAGATGGCTGAGATAGAAGATGGACATAAACTTCCGTTTAAACAGGATAACGGGGAAATCCCGTTTAGCCATATCGAACTTACTTGGACGCCGGATAGAAAACATTAAAAGAAAGGTCGAGACTTGCTTGGGAAAGATACATGCACCAATATTTGTGCTAAGCAAAAATAAATAGATGAGAGGATTCAAAAGGAAAGGGATGCCTAGAAAAAAGAGACTTGAGGCCTTATGTGCCAGTTGACGCGAAGAGGATAGCAAGCTTCAATAGCTTCAGTGGAAGGCTGGTTTTAGGATAGAGAACGATGAGAATATAAAATGAATGAAACAGTCTGCATTTTTATTGAGAAAAATGTAAAAACTTTATACAGAAATTCCAACTGATAACTCTATACGCTCTATAGCGTTTTTGAAAAGAATGGAGAGCAGAACCTTAATCATATTTTAGTATCAGAAACACACTTCGCTCAATTGAATGCATGGTTTAAACCTCCTCATCTGAGACCTTCTTTGGAGTTTCGATAGAACTAACAGCTTTGGTCATTAATAGCTATCAGCGTCATCTGTTGGCAATTTTCGCGACTAAATTTCAGAATTTCTGTGCAGAATTTTTACTGCTTTCATATGAATAAATTTAATCGTTTTAT